GTATTATTTTCATTTTGCAAATGAGGAAACTGAAATAGGGGGGTTAAATTTGCCCAAGGTCACACAACCAGTAAGTGGAAGAACTGGCATTTGAACTCAGGAAGTCTGACAGGAGCTCAAACACTTGACCACTTAAACATAGGAGGAGGAAATATTAGACGCAGGTCCTAAATAGGAAGCCTTCTGTACACTTCTATATAGGAAGAGATGGGGGCTCCCGGCTGGCTCAGTCAGAAGAGCATGTGACTCTTGATTTCAGGGTTGTGAGTTCAAGCCTCATGCGGGGTATAGAGATCACTTACATAAAGTTTTAAAAATAAATAGGAAGAGACGGTGAGGGAGCACATTTTGGGAAGGCTCTCTAGGAGCTGAAAACTACAATAGAGATTAGCTGCTGTGAATGGGAAAAGGGTTCCCATAGAATGGAGGCTTTTCAACCAGACGGCATTTCTGATCTCTTAATAGAGCAACAGAACCCAGGAAGCAATCTTCACTGTTCATGTATTTTGATAATCTGGGCACGTAAAAAACATCCTTCATAACTTGAAGTGGTAACGTGTGTCCAGCCAGCTTTAAGGGATAGTGGTGAAAACCTCCCTCGGTTACAGTGGGCTAGAGGGAGCCCAGGAAGCAATGAGTACTTAGTATTCATCCTGGAGCCTATGAAAACACTCACCAGGAAGAAAAGCACTGATCCAGGGTAAGCCCACAAGATTAAACGACCACTGTGGAAGCAGGCAGAGAATCACAGAAGGTCCGGATTGAAAGGTCTCTATCAGGTTACCTACATGATGTCTCCCTTTCTGATACTACACGAACACACACTGCACATGCCACCAGACTGTGTCTTGCTTCTGGGCCTCTGTCCTTGCTCTCTCCTCGGTCTGGAAGGCCACACACCATCTGCCTTCCCGGGCTAACTGCCATAAAGCCTTCTCATAACCTACATAGGTTTCTCTTGGTAGCTGCCCTGAAGTGTTCTACTAGACTCTGAGCTCCTTGGAGGCAAAGACCAGTCCTATTCATCTTCATATTGCAGGTGCCTGGCACAGAGTAAAGTATGCAATAAATGCCTGCTGCAGGAATGGAGAGGACATCCCTGCCAAATGAATTTCCACATTTTTCATGAACACTTTGTGGCTGGATAGCACATAGTCCTTTAGATCTCATACCCCTAAACCTAGGAGTGGAAAATAAATTCAATTACGTGTAAAAGCGATCCAGACTGGGCTCCAGTGATGTCAGATGTGAAGCGTTTCTCTGTAGTTATCCTCTGGGGTGGTCAGGATCCTGAGGTTGACATTTTGGTTGTCTTACCTCTGTCTGCAGAGTAATAGGAAGTCAGAGACGGGCAGCATCCTTGCAGCTTCAGAGTCACAGTTTGTGGTTGTGCTGGGGCAGGAAATACTTAAAACAGGAACACAGTAAGCAGCTGTGTCTCAGTAATAATGAGAGTAGTGTCCTTATCACCTGCTAACTGATACACAGTATCACGAGGGAAGGAATCAAATCACCCTGGAAGGACCTGTTCCAATATCCCTCTTGTGTGTGCGCACGCACGCACGCACACACGCACACACACACAAACTAGCAATACCACCCCAGTAGGAGAGAGAAACCTTACAGGTTTAGGAAGTTGAGGGTCATTCAGGCAAGCTCCATTTGAGGGCTAAAGTCACAGGAGGAACAATTAAATCAATAAATAGGTAGTTTATTAATCAGATTAATAACAATAATCAGGGATTCAGCCAGTCTGGCAAGTATGGATGAAAATGAAAGGAGGCCTTTCCCCCCTCCCTCTCATAGGTTTTTATATCTAAATTATGTGAAAGTGATTCATACACACACCCATTATGAATCAGTATGGGAAATAATTTCAAGACCTTTCCTAGTGATGAAAGTGCAAGGTGAGCTCATTAAATCTTAGTGATGATTACGTCAGCTGACCACAGTAAGCAGAGAATGTCTGGCTCAGTTTTTACACCCCAAGTCAAAGTTCAAGAAAGCCAGCCAAGATTGCAACTTAAAAAGCGGGAAAGAAAAAAAGCCAACACCCACAAAAATAAACACAGTCTGTCTGCGCTGCCCCCACCTTTTCTCCCATACCTCAGTGGGACAATCTGCCATGCAACACAGGTAGAAAGAATCCTAAGAGATATGAGGAGAGGACACAAGGCCAGAGCCTCTCCTGGGTCCCCTGAAATCATGGGCATCGGGAAGGTAGGTGGCAAACATAAATGACCAAAACTACCAGAGTCACCCAGGTGAGCATGGTTAATGAGAACTATGATATTCAAAACACAGCAGGAAGGGAGGAGGGAAGACCCCTGGGAAGCTGCAGATGCTTCTGCCCAAGTCAGTGTAGCTACCTTCTTAGAGGTTCTAGAGTCAAACCACTACACTCACCAGAAGCAACAGATGTTCTCCCCTCCCTATGCCACCACTGGAGGCGGTGTTCCAGACAAGAGTACACAGTTGTCAGGTTTTGGTTTTTGTTTTTAAGCAAGGTTTAATTAAACTGCACGGCATCCAGAAGAAAGAAATGTACCAAAGAATCCAACCTGAGACCAGATTATACATTGTAGAGGGGTGGGGGGGGGAGAGGAATCACTGCTTATTGGGAGGGAGCACTGCAATTGGAATATAACTCCAAAATAAATCATACAATAAATTATTTTTAAAAGAAAATAAACTGATCCACATGCAAAGATGGACACACACACACACCACACACACACACCCACACACACACTCTGCACACGTCACTCTAGTCTTTTATTCAGTGTTGACTAGGACTTCCATGCTGGTCCGTGGGAAAGGACAAAGGTTAGACATGAGAAAAGAAGGCTTGGCCCCTCTGCCACCACTGGAATGAGATTTAAGACAGTTAGAGAGGAAACCCACTAAGTTGTTAGAAACAAGAGTAGAAAGAAGGAAACAGTTATCAAGGAAGATTTTAATTGCTTCAAAGAGAGAGAGGAAGAAAGCACAGAAATCTAACACAAGTAAAGGCACAATGACCGTGGAGTTGAATGGAACCAAATCCTTCCTTCAGTTAAAAGTTATCCTTCTTTTTGTATGTGTTTTGAAGGTGGCTGTAGTTTTGTTTCATTTTGCTTTTAAGAGATGAGTCTTGAAGGCAGAGTTGTAATGCCTTCCATTCCCTAAATTAGGGTGGCTTACAGAAAGCCATTGACCACATTGCCAGGGACTGAGATTCAGTAGGGAAAGAAAAGCTACAACTGGAATGTGAAGAATTGGATTTACAGTTGATTTTAGGTTGGGTTTCCAGAAGGACAGACAGCTCAGTGTAGTGCCATCAAAGGGCCTCAGATGCCCTATACTCCACCCCCAGAGCTTTGCAGAAGGAAAGGACCCTGGAGTCACATTTTTCCCCCACTCCCATAAGCACTCAGCCTACAGATTATTTCAAGTGATCAGGAGAATTAAAACACACCCCAACCCTGAGTTGCTCTGTAGCAAGTCTATTTACAATTTTTTCTCACCTCTCCCTGGAGGTAAATCTGGATTTCAAGTTGGGAAGCTGTGAGGTGAGGGGATGCCCCCAGTGCAATGGCCAGTGGCTAGTCTCCTTGCCTTGGCCAGTTGGGAGGGCTGGGATGCATTTCTGGAGACAAGCAGCCTCACATCCATCAGGCTGGGTAGCCCTAAGCGCCCTCCTCTGGGAGCCCGGCTGTGAGGATGATGGGGCTCTGCAGCCGGAGGAAATCCTCACAACAGAAAAACCACACCTGGAATATCAAAGTGATGTGATCCAAGTTTGGTGACCAAAGAAGACGGGGGAAGAGGGGCATCTAGCTCATTTAAAAATCTGGAAGCCACTGCTCTGCTTCCCAGAAAGGGTGGAAAGAAACAATTAAGTTTTTCCCACTAGAGAAAAACATCATAAAACCAAACCCACACAAGGGCTTATAACACAGCTTCCTGATGCTTAGTTGGGCAATGTCTCTTCCTTCTGGGAGGGAATAAGGGGGTTAATGGGACTGGGCAAGAGTCTCAACATGAGACCACCCAATCTTCCACTGGAGACGACATTCCCACAAGCAGATAAGAAGAGCAGTTTAAAAGGTGAGAAGTTTTAGTGCTCTTGCAGCCAGCCCACCTTAAATCTCTATTACAAGCTTTTTACAACATACAAAATAGATCAATAACTATGAGGATCACATTCCCATTCTTCAATAGTAAATATACAGGATAATAAATCTGTTATTAACAGAGGGACCAAATAATGTATAAGGCAAAGACATTTAAATAGGTACTGTGCCATCATCATGCTCTCAAGAAGAAAATCCGTCTGATTAGATCCAGGCCCAGGCCTTTTCTCATGAGGCCAAGAAAATGACAATACAATCAATACCCATGTGACACAGTCCAAATGCTGGGGAATATGAGGGGCAGCAGGTCACAGAAGAGGAAGATATCAGCCCCAGTGAAAAGCTAGGGTTTGGCTTTTACTTGTGATTCTTATTTTGATGCTTTGTGTTTGCGTGAAGGGGGGGGGAAAAGGATACACTTTGTTAACATTGTACAAAAGGCATCAACTCCCATTTCAAAAACAAATGGGAAGACTTCACAGTCCAAGCTCAGTAACTGGTCAGCATCTCCCCTGGAACTCTGCTGCAGGGTTAACTCTTGTATTCTCTCTTTTTCCCTCCACTCGTGCGTGCCCTGTCTCAGCACTACGGGTTTCAGAATGCTGGGGATACTGCTGAGATAACTGCTAACAGATTTGAAAATAAAAACGATAAAGAGAATGATTAGAAAAGGTATGGTGACAGACCTCATCATGGTTTGTCCCAAGAGTTGATACAGTCCAGGGGATGGCAAAGGACAGCAGACCCTGTACAAAGAACCCAAGCCGAGAGCTCTCCCATCTGGCACGGGAAGACTTGGGTTTCTCTGGGCACCATGCACAGATCCTTAGTCTGTGATCCAACAGATTGGAGAGGTCCCGAAGGTGATTTAAGCCTGTGATGTACCTGGTGAAAATTTTTTACTTTCCCCATCCATTTCAAGGAATAGCCTTGACTCCTTCCCTGCTCTCATTCCAAACCTTGAGCAGTCTCTGCACTTGGCAAGAGTTGTAGCAAACCAAACCATCCCACGTGTAGAGCCCAGGAGCTCCATCCTGCTGTTGGGAGAATGAAGTCCCGTTCCCCCATCCAAGCTCAGTTCCTACCTAGACTAGGACCCTCTATTTCCTCTGTGCCCTTGAACTAGGACCTGGAAGACGAAGAAACATATTGCTGGCTGCCAAGGAAGATCAACTGAACTGAGGCACACCTCACCAAAGTCTTTGTGCTTCCTGGCACAGAGGAATCTTTGACCGTCCCCATAAGCTTCTTCACCCTTCTGTATTCTGTGTTAACCCCTGCAGTCTTGTGAAGGCAAGAGTAGTGGAGAAAGGAATGGAAGTACCTGCTCAGTCAGATGGGCTGTGAACTTTGGAACAAACAGGCCTTAAAGTCCTTCAAAGCCCACAGAGTTGATCCCTTCCACAAGGTGCTTCACCCTTCCCTTGTCATCCTGGGCACCCATCAGGGGCTAAAGTCTCTGAGAAGGCCATCAGGGCCAGTCAGAAAAGACTTCAGAGGTGTCAAGGCCAACGCCCGATCTTTCCATCTCCCACTGCAGGGTTTTGGAGTTCGTGAATCAAAGTGACTTTTCTTTTGAGGGGATGGGCAGTGCAGAGAGGAATAACAGCCCTCAGCCTCAGCACCCTGAGGAAACAGGCAAATGGGCAGGGAATCCCAGAGGACACAAATGGCTCCTGGTCCCTTTGCTGCAGAGAAACTGACTAGCTCTAAAAGGATCCCCAGTTTATTTCACCCTCTCTTTTTATTAGATGTTTAGTTCAACTGATTAGTATTTAGTATTTATAATATCCAACTTCTCCCTGGGGTGGTGGCATGGGGTGGGGTGAGAGCAAAACCAAAATACCCTTAAAAAGAAAGCAGACCCATTTCTTTGCCCTTTCTTCAAACTTGACCTTTAAAACAGATCACTTCTCTGCAAATTCCTTTCCTGTTTCACTAAAAATGCCCACCCCTCAGAAGTCCTGGCCATGCCAGCCTCCTAAATGAGGAAACATAATATACCCGCCACACTTCCCCCACAGTGGGTAGGAGAAAGTAGGGAGTACAATTCTCCACCCTGCCCCAACAATGAGTTCATTCATCACAACAAGGCACCTTTCCCCAAGAGGAAAGCAGGAGACATGGAAACTTTTTCCTCGTCTGGCTAGCAGGGCTTGCGAGAGGAGGCATGGATTCAGGGTTTGAGACCCTACTGTCAATATAAAGAGTCCAATCACCAAGTCTAGAGACGAGATGCATAGATGGAGGTGAGTGGGGAGGACGCTTGGTGTCTAGAGATGGGTTGCACTGGAGAAACACATCAGGAGCTCTCATGCAGGTTTCAGGGGAGTGGAAGGGACCATCTGAGCAGAAGAGAGGGTCCATCCTTTTCCTGAGGAACAGGACCAAGCCGGGCTTCACCTGAGAATGGGTGGCAGAGGTGGGGCTCCACGGGCAGCTGAAAAATATAAAAATAAAAACCACATACATAAGGTCAACCACCAAACACTGAGTAACCCAAACACTCCTGAAATGACAGGCTGTTTAAGCTAACCTTCAAAATTTAGGGACTGGTTTTGTTGTTTCCTTGTTTTATTAGAAAATGCAGATGAGAAGCAAATTTTAATCTAAGAAAAACACACCAATTCTACTTTCTATGGAATTATGGAAAAACTTTCATTGACTACTCTTCTCACCTCGGTTTGTTTTGCTGGGATATATTCTCTGAAAGTGTTTATATTCTTCTGGAGCAGGAAAGTCTTCTACTGGATGGAAAGAATACTTTGACTCAAAATCATCTGGGAAAGGAACAGAATATTAAGTCATATCACCCTTCCTTGTGCTCCCACATATTCTGTAGCACTTCTGAGCCCCCCACCCCCTTGCTAATCTCCCTCGAATTCTGATGGACCACTAGGGCCTGCCTGGCCCACTAAACCAAGGTTCCTGAGGCCAGCAACAGCATTTTTCTACCTTGCACACACAGAGGATACGCTCAGAGGCTCTTCACATTAAGGAATGAGTCTTTGAATTAGTTCTTCAAATCTTAGCTGTTTGCATGGGAGAAGGAAATACAGTTCTGTTTCAGTTCACAGTCATCTTAGAGACTGTCACCATGGGAAACCAACTGAACTGAATCCACAGATTGGTAGACATTAACCTAAAATGGGAATTTCTGTCACCAGCTAGTGAGAGATCTGACTAGGTAACTCCCCTCTGGCCCAGGTTACCCTCATTTAACTCTATACAACAGAGTCGGGACAGCCATCTCATGGCCTCCGCTCCCACTTTCTGTGGGCCCCTCTAGAAGGCTCAGATTTTCGATCGGTGTGGCTCAAACACATTCCAAAAACCCTGGTCCCCCAATAAGGTACAGACTAGACTGGGTGCAGAGAAGAGGCAACCATTCAAGAATCTAGAATGTTAGGGTTGAAGGAGACTGTACAGATCTTTCCAGGGTCCTTAACAGAGGGTCTGAGGAAACCCTACAGACATCCTTTGCTTGGGGCTCCATCCTAGACCCAACGAATCAGAATCTCTTAGGTGGGGCCTAAGACTCATTTATAACCTTGAAAAAGTTAAATCTGATACACTTCTGATCTCATCAACCTCCTCATTTCACAGATGAGGGAAGTGAGTCCCAGAGAAGTGAAGTAACTTCCTCAAAGTAACACAGCTAGGTAGTGGCTCTGTCTTATTAATGTTGTATACCATGGGTTGTTTTTGTTGTTGTTTTTTAAAGGTCCAGAAAAGGCCCTCTCCTTCCTAGGAAGATACATCATTCCTGTCTGAATAATCCTGAAAAGGATAAAGTCTCTGACCTAAAAGCTAACCACAAAGGATCCTTGGCGAGCAAGCGAGTATAGCTTTGGAGTTATTAGCACAACACCTACTGACTTTACTTCAATCTCTTCTAAAGCAATCATACCTAGAATTCATATAACACAAGGGATGTCAATGGAGGGGGCCCAGAAATCTGAGGGAAAGTCAGGAGAAGAACTGTTGTGAACAAAGGATACCCAGTGACCATTCCCACTCTAGAGTGGCCACTGGAATTAGTGAAGTCACCACAGGAACTATGAGACTAAAACACCTAGTTACTCACCCAAGAAAGATCGGACAGTGGTAATAGAATCTCTGTGGCCATTCCTCAGGGGTGGTGGAGGAGGAGGGGGTGGTCCAGCTGGCGTCCTTGAGGGCGGAGGTGGGGGCTTTCCTCGGCTCAGAGGTTCTGACCCATGCATTCGGTACGGTGGGGGGGGAGGGGGAGCATCCCTGGCACCATTTCGGATCATGGGTGGTGGGGGTGGAGGAGCTGCAAGCAAAATCCAAAGCAGTTAGGTTGGGATACAGAGACAGTGAGGGGTGGGGGAATTTGAGAGACGAGCTCTAAGAGTGCCTTGGTGCCTTCCCAAAGAGCCAGGCTCTGGGAGCCTCGAGGCAGCATGTCGGGTATCAGATTCAACCTCTATTTAAAAGCGGGACCATTTCTTCCAGATCTCAAAGTCCAGAATAAATGTGTGACCCTTTTCATTTCCTGTGACAAGTCAGTCAAGAACTCTGCCTACTTTTGATGATCTTTTCCCTGCCTTTCCATGCCTTCCTCCACAATCCTAATTCAAGGCTTTCTCATATTTAGCCTGTTCTACTGCAAAAAGCTTCCCAAACGTTCTCCTTGCTTCTGGTCTCTTACCATTCCAATCCATTCTACATACCAACTCACTAATCGCCTCCAAAATACTTGCTCAAACTTTTCCAAGGGCTTTGCATTTCCTCTATCATGAAGTTTCAAATCCTTAGCTTCAACCCCAACTGGGTCTCCCCCCATCATCTTTTTTTTTTTTTAAAGATTCTATTTATTTATTTGACAGAGACAAAGTGAGAGAGGGAACACAAGCAGGAGGAGTGGGAGAGGGAGAAGCAGGCTTCCCGCGGAGCAGGGAGCCTGACACAGGGCTCGATCCCAGGACCCCAGGACCACGACCCGAGCCGAAGGCAGACACCTAACGACTGAGCCACCCAGGCGCCTTCTTTCTTACAAAGCAACTTACCAGGCCAGGCAGCCTGATTTCACCTTCTCCTCTTCCTTGCTTGATTCCTAGGCTGAGACTCCCACTGTTGCCTCTGTATCTCTCTACTACATCTTGTATTGTAATTTTTCATTTTATGTGCTCTTCCCCAGCACACTAAGTCAGGGTAGTGTCCGTTCATCTGAGTTCCCAAGCTCAGCCAAATGTACAGCACACAGTAGGTATGCAATCAACATGTGCTGACTAAACCAAACCACATATGCTTTGCTCATGTGACTCCCCCAAAAGACGCAGAAACGCGATCCATCTTCCCTTACTACCAAACCCTACCTCTCCTTTAAGATTCAACTCAAGCCCCATCTTCTAAAGGCTTTCCCAAAGCAATGCACTCTATTCGAATCCCCTTCTTCTTTGTTCTCCCATAGCATTTATAGGCTGTGTCACTTACTCTAGCACTTTTTTTTTTTTTTAATATTTTATTTATTTATTTGACAGAGACATAGCGAGAGAGGGAACACAAGCAGGGGGAGTGGGAGAGGGAGAAGCAGGCTTCCCGCGGAGCGGGGAGCCCGCTACGGGACTCGATCCCAGGACCCCGGGATCATGACCTGAGCCGAAGGCAGACGCTTAACGACTAAGCCACCCAGGCGCCCTACTCTAGCACTTTGTAGTACAGACTAAAATGAGTGATTCTCAAAATATGTATAGTAGGTTCATCTGCACAAGTTGCATATCTCCAATGATAGGCTCCTTGCTCAGAAAAACTGGGAATGCCTCTTTGGGAATTGTCTCCAAACCCAGTTTCTAACCAAGCAGATCCGTAAATATTATATGATGTTCATATCTCATTTTTTTTTAAAAGATTTTATCTATGTATTTTACAAAGAGTGCATGCGCGCATGTGTGCAAACTTAGGGGAGGAGCAGAGGGAGAGGGACAAGCAGACTCTGTACTGAGCGCGGAGCCCAACATGGGGCTTGATCTCACGACTCCAAGATCATGACCTGAGCGAAACCAAGAATCAGATGGTCAACTGACTGAGACACCCAGGTGTCCCTCGTATCTCATTTCTGAGGTTGCACAACCATCAATAAAAATATTCATACCTACGTCTCTTTTCAAAAATCAAATTCACTCTTAAAAGACAAAAATGTGGGGTGCCTGGGTGGCTCAGTTGGTTAAGTGTCTGCCTTCAGTTCAGCTTATGATCCCAGAGTCCTGGGATCGAGCCCTGCATCGGGCTCCCTGCTCAGTGGGGAGTCTGCTCCTCCCTCTCCCTTTGCCCCTGCTTGTGCGCTCTCTCTCTAGCTCACTCTCTCTCTCAAATAAAATGAAATCTTAAAAAAAAAAAAAAAGACAAAAATGTGCCACCAAGTAGAAGGTAACATCAAAAACACATCTGAAGACATGGCAACATCATTGGAATAGGTTCTAAGTAAGGTGTTTGTATTATGTTGTTCTATTCTTTTAACTAACAAAAAGAGCAGCTACCATTTATTTGGCTTCTGTTATATTCCAGGCACTGTCCCGGGTACTTTATAGGCATTACACTTTAAAATTCTTCCGCCACTCCTGCAAAGTATGTGGTATTATCCCCATTTCACAATGAGGAAACTGGGACTCAGGCTGTTTGTCCGAGGTCACAAATTTAATAGACTCAGCACACATCTGCTCTTTCCACTATGCCCACACTGCTTTACTTAACTACCCCAAGTACTATATTAACCACCCCCAAAATGTATAACCCACTGAGATGGAAGTTTATCTTCTGGTACCAACGCCATGTCCAATAAATAGTTGTTTCCTAAATAATACGTGGAGAGACTTCTCAGCTTAACAGACAACACTGGTTTAGTGATTGAAGGGTGTTATCATCATCATCATCTTTTTAAGTACGCTCTACACCCATCGAGGGGCTTGAATGCATGACCCTGAGATCAAGAGTCACATGCTCCTACCGACTGAGCCAGCCAGCCGCCCAAGAGTATTATCTTATTCCTCCTGAATTACTGTTGGAATTTCTGTAGAGTGACTGCAGTTAAGAAAGAAGCAGTAATGGGATGATTTATGTAGACAAGGGGTCCAGCACTGCAGGCCCAGTAAATGTTAGTTTTCGCTTCCCCTAAGATGCACTCTGAATGTCTCCTTCACTCTTTTCAAGGTTTAAGTATGGACAGGGGCTATTCGAAGCAATAACTAAAGAAAAGCCTCCTTAACACCACCTAGCAGATCTCTGAACCTTGATTTCATCCCAAATCTGCCCAAACCAAAGCTCTTTCAGGTCGCCTTCAAAATATTTCCCTAAAACCCAGATTTCTCAGGGCCCTAAGAGTCTGCATCTACTCAAGGGGAGGGTCAGAGAGTGTAAGACAGGCAGGGTTAGCTAGGCTCAAAAGGACCCCAGCTAGACATCGGGCAGGTGGTAGTGATTAGAGCCGACCCAGACTGGCCAAAGAGAGCAGGACCAAGAGCAGTCTGCCCTCCCTCAGGGATGGTCATCCCAACCAGGTGCTGCCATCTCCAGTAGTTTCTGGGCTCTTTGTCACATACAATTTTAGGACCCTTTCAAGGGACAGAGCTGGAACCCAAGGACCGTAAGAAAGAAGCAGTTTGTAAAAGAAACTTTGGGGTGGGAGATCACCTTTTGTAAACCTAGAAAAACCCAATTTTGAGGAAAGCAAAAAATAAACAAATGAACAAAATTTAAAAATTCCCTTAAAAATAGTGTGTTTTACTCTGCAAAGAAAAAATTCAGAAACCCTATGGACCACTAAATTGGTCCCTGAGCACCCTGGGAAGACAAGACTCCATACTTTTTCAAATGTAAATAATTCATATAGAAACAAAAGTGTATTATCATGTAATATTGTCATATGATTTAATAATAGAGATAAATCCATGAACTACCTGGAAACCCTTGCATAAAACCATTAACAGTTATCAGCATACTACAGTTTACAAAGAACTTTCATATATACTTTTATTTACAACCACCCCTGAAGGTACTATGAACACGTGAGGAAACAAACTCAGAATGAGGAGCACCTGGGTGGCTCAGTCGTTAAGTGTCTGCCTTCGGCTCGGGTCATGATCCCAGGGTCCTGGGATCGAGCCCCACATCGGGCTCCCTGCTCAGCGGGAAGCCTGCTTCTCCCTCTCCCACTCCCCCTGCTTGTGTTCCCTTTCTCGCTCTTTTTCAAAAAATAAATAAAATCTTAAAAAAACAACTACTCAGAATCAGAGCTATCTGCCCAATGTCACACAACAAAGAGAGCCAATACTCACAAGATCTCTGACTAAAATATCTCAATTTTCTCTCTGTGTTATCACTCTAAGAACTGCTGCTCTGGTTAGAGATGGAAAGCTGGCCAAGGCCTCCATCAGGTCTCAAAGTTGGTGATAGCTGAGGGACAGAAGAACAAGGCTCATAACACATTTTTCTGAAGAAACCACAAAGAAAGAACAGCGAAGTGGGAAGCAAGAAGTCTGCAGACATTTAAAACTACTCAATTCAGGATGCATGGCTGGCTTATGTTGGTAGAGCATGTGACTCTTGATCTCGGGGTCTTGAGTTCAAGACCCACATTAGGCCTACAGTTCAGTTCAAAAAAATAAATTAATTAAATTAAAAAAATAAAACTACTCAGTTAAACCCACAGAAATTATATTTTTCCCCGCTTCTATTCCTGGATAGGATTAGAAAGATATGGGCTCTGCTTCGCTAAAGAGTCTTTAAAAAAAAAAAAAAATCCCTGGGACGCCTGGGTGGCTCAGTTGGTTAAGCATCTGCCTTCAGGGGCTCCTGGGTGGCTCAGCTGGTTGAGCGTCTGCCTTCAGCTTGGGTCATGATCCCAAGGTCCTGGGAGCGAGCCCCGCATCGGGATCCCTGCTCGGCGGGAAGCCTGCTTCTCCCTCTCCCACTCCCCCTGCTTGTGTTCCTTCTCTCGCTGTCTCTCTGTCAAATAAATAAATAAATATCTAAAAAAAAAAAAAAAAAGCATCTGCCTTCAGTTCAGGTCATGATCCCGGGGTCCTGGGATCAAGTCGGGCATTGGGCTCCTTCCTCAGCAGGGAGCCTGCTTCTCCCTCTGCCTGCCGCTCGCACTCTCTCTCTGACAAATGAATAAATAAAATCTTAAAAAAAAAAAATCCCTAAGTTAAAAAATAATTTTTAACCTTAACTTTGTAAAATCAAAGGTCACGTTAGGACTAGGATTCTTATGGCTAAAGCCAGGGAGACACGGGGTCAGGAATGTACCAGGTTACCGTACGACTGCCGTATGGGGACTGCCAGCTCCCAGAATACAGATCTCTACGTATGTCACCAAGCAGCAGCACAGGTTACAGGGCTTTCAATACGTGCTTCCTGATGACTTAATTTCTTAATCAATTACCCAAACCTGCAAGGACTGTTTAAAAGCTCAAAAGCCATTTGTGGAGAATGTGGCTCAAAGTCCAATGATGAAAGAGGACACCGGAGCCAAAATTCCTGGGTCTAAGAAGGTCCCAGAGAGCTTCATGGTCTCCCTACTTTCAGTCATGCTATTTTGTAAAAGGACTACACAACCTCTTCTTCTTTTTCTAGAGCTCCTTAATCCCCTCTTCATCCAGTTTAGGCTCATGGTCCACTGTTAAAATCACTCCCGGACCTACACCCTTAAGCTTCCCTGCCCCACTCTCCCTTAGTGCCCCACATGCCTGAAAAAGCTAACCTTGGTTAAACACCATGCTGCCACTACTCAGCACCTGCGAACACACACTGTGCTAACCTCACTTTGAGTGTATGGCTCCTAATCCTGAGTTGGCCTTTCATGCTGCTGCTTAGCCCAGCACACTTCCCCACCCCCTTCACTCTCCCACATTCCCGGAGGACCACCTCATGCCCCTCTCTCTCCTTCCCTCCCCTCATTCACAGCAGATGTCCTTGCTTTCTATTTCACCAATAAGAAACAAACCAGAAGGGGCACCTGGGTGGCTCAGTCGGTTAAGCATCTGCCTTTGGTTCAGGTGATGATCCCAGAGTCCTGGGATCCCGTGTCTGGAGCCCGCTTCTCCCTCTGCCCTTCCCCCTACTTGTTCTTTCTCTCTCTCAGATGAATAAAATCTTAAAAAAAGAAGAAGAAGAAACTTTGCACATGCTACCCACTTACATCTATGACTATGCATTCCGCCTTCCCTCCTGTTACCATGGAAGAACTGTGTTCTTATCTAAGGTCAACCCCTTACCTATGGATCAGATTCCTTTTAGCCTTCTAGGGAACATTACTCAGGCAATTTCCCCCCTTTCTACTGTATCATTTCATCAGTATACAAACAGATGCTGAAATATCTCTCATCCTGGAGAGGAAGGGTCCCAACCCTCAATCTCACATTCTCCTCCAGCAACCATTCCATTTATCTGCGCCCCCACCCCCACTCCCCTTCAAGCAGACTGAGAGATTTCTACATTGCTATCTCCGATTCCTCTCCTCCTATCCCCAAGGTCCCAAACACGTCTTAGACCCTCACCCTCAACCTCCACCACTCCACTGAAACTACCAAAAGGATATTATGTTGTTTGGGGGTCCCCCCAAAGGACTCCATGTTGCTAAGACCAATGTCATTCTGTTTTCAGTCCTGGACACGGCTAATCATTCCATCTCGGCATCCTTCCGGCATCCTCGTTTTCTTCCTCACTGGGGGCTCTTTCTTAGCTTCCTCAGCTTGCTACTCCCCACCTCTCTGACCTCTACTATAAAGGCCTCAACCTCTTCTCTATCTAGACTGACTCCCTAGGTGAGCTCACCCAGCATGTGGTTCTCAGTATCATTCAAATTTCTCTAACCCAGATCTTTCCCCTCAACTTCAGAGTCTGACAGACATTCCAGAGAAAACAATGAACTGGTGTTTGGCTAACAGGCATGTCAAACTTGACTTGTTTAAAAGTGAACACCTGTCTTCTTCCCCCAAACCTGCTGCGGTCCTATCTACCTGCCTGGTTTACTGCAACAGCCTCCTAAGTGGTCTCCCTTGCCACCTCTGTCCCCTGCAGTCTGTTTTCAACACAGAAGTTTGTCATTCATTTTATTTTATTTTAAGATTTTATTTATTTATTTATTTGACAGACAGAATACAAGCAGGGGGAGCAGCAGAAGGAGAGGGAGAAGCAGGGAGCCCGATGCGGGGCTCGATCCCAGGACCCTTGGATCATGACCTGAGCCGAAGGCAGAAGCTTAACCGACTGAGCCACCGAGGCGCCCCGAGTTTGTCATCCTTTTAAAAGCTAAAGCAGGGCGCCTGGGTGGCTCAGTCATTGGGCATCTGCCTTTGGCTCAGGTCATGATCCCTCATGATCCCAGGGTCCTGGCATCGAGCCCCACATCGGGCTCCCTGCTCAGGGGGAGGCCTGCTTCTCCCTCTCCCACTCCCCCTGCTTATGTTCCCTTTCTCGCTGTCAAATAAATAGATAATCTTTAAAAAATAAATAATAAAAAATAAAAGCTAAAGCAACGTTTCTCCTCTGTTCCAACGCCCTCCAGGGGCTCAGCATTTCACCGAGTAAACCCCAGTCTTGACAAAGTCCTACAGCGCTCTCCTGTGGAAATCCAGCTTCCTGACCTCCATGTCCCGCCACTCTTCCCCCCTCACTCATTCCAGTCCTGCCACAATGGCGCCCTGCTGTCCCCAGTCTCAGGGCCTTTGTACTTCCTGTTCCCAATGCCTGCAATAGCTGTTCTCCCAGATAACTGCTTAGCTTACTCCATCACTCTCTTCAGGTCTTTGCCAGATTGTTACTTCATCTGTAAGGCCTTCCCATCTCACCCCACCTCTGCAATAAAAAATATCACCACCACCCTCCACCTCAGTATATCCTATTCCCCTTCTCTGCTTTGTATTTCTCTAAAGCATCTACATACTATCTTTATATATATATGTATGCATATATTTTTTTAATTTTTTTTTTACTAATTTATTTGCGTGACTGTCCACAGAGAACAGGAATCTTCTGTCTTTTCTATTGATTGCTGTTTCGCTAAAAACAGAGTCTTACACACAAAAAAGCACTCAGTAAACCTGTTGAATGAGTAAGTGAATTCTTTTTCTCTTCAATCGCTGAAGGAGAGCTTTGGAGAAAAGGGTGAGAAGAGAAACTCCATTCTCCATCTGATAGGAAGAAAAGGTGCTTCCAGGCACTTACCTGCTCCCCGACTGGGAGGGTCCCGGGCTGGGGGAGGTGGTCTATTACTCTGTAGTGATGGGGAGGCTGAGGTGGGTGGAGGAGGCGCTAGGCCTCTGACAGGCCCCGGTGTCTTCCTATGCAAAGAATTGTGTCTCTGTGGCAGCTCAGGGGCTGACTCATTAGTGGGACTGGAGGGTCCATTGGGGACCCCAGGAGGCTGGCGGTAAGGCGGAGGAGGAGGAGCCAGAGACTGGCCACTTGGTCCCGTTCTGATATTCCCAGGGGAAGGAGGTGGTTTCACTGGGGGTGGAGCAGGAGGTCCCTCCCGACCAGGGTGCAGCCTTTGTCCAGGTGTGGGCGGCAAGGGTTTCTCTCTGTTGTAGGCAGGGGCTTTGCTGCTGTGCATAGGCAGAGGTGCAGGGGGTGCGTTGGCACGCCGCCCCGGGGGTGGCGGAGGAGGGGCAGAGGAGCTGTGCTTCATGCCTGTACTGCTGGTGGTGTTAGGCCGAGAGAGGTCCGGTAGCGAGGGTCTCTGCATCCGGGGCAGTTCTGGGAGTGAGGCTCGGCTGCTGTCTGTATCATCTTGAGGGCGCCCACTGGCTGTAGACACTGGTGGCCTTGGGGCAGCAGCTCGAGAACTGGGGACTTGTAGGGCTGGCTTAGCAGCTAGGTTCTCTACAAATACACCAGGTAGCATTCGATCAACAGAGCTAGATACATGTTAGTCAGTATCTCTACTTCCCCCAGCCTCCTTAGTGTAACCTGCATGGTAGCAGGTTAAATGCCTGTATAGTCCTGGATTTTAATCTGGTTTCAGGCTCAGGGCCCACTGACAAATACTGCTGATACAAGTTGAACACATTTTTACTTAATCCCTCAGCTTTGGCTTTATTCTGCTCTGTAACTCCTCCCCTGCTCCCACTTCTCCTTCCTCCCACCTCTACCACACACCTGAACCCTAGATGACCCACTTGGGACTAGTCAGAAATTAATGCACTTGGGAAATATCCTAAGAAAGTACTGCTCAGATACCTGAAACGTCCTTGGCGCCCACAGGTCGGAGCTTCGGCACTCCCCCTTGGAAGAGACCTCCCTTGGGCTGCAGGGCAGCTGCTCCAGAGCCATAAGCACCACTGCTTCCTTTCGGTTCTGGAAAGCATACCATTAGGGTTTTCACTTCATATGCTGGGAGCTGGTGAGCAAGTCAATCCTGAGGAGAAACCCCTCCTCTATTTGGGCTTTAATTTGCAAACAAAGCGACCCTGCTTTTGCATTTAAAAAAAAAAAAAAAAAAAAAGGCTAGGCCTCTCAGCTCCACACCTTCAGGTAGAGATGAAACTCTTCACTGTGATGAAAGAGAAAGAAAAGGAACAAGAAGCCAAACTTCCCTTATTTAGGAAAGTCAAAGAGAAAACCAGGATCAAGACACTTTCAGCAGAGTTCTCTGGGCTCTCTTCTCCAAGTCCCACATGGTAAGGGGGCCAGGGACTTAGGGATCCAGGTGTGAGCAAACTCTCCAGAGGCCTATCAGAATGGACACTTGTGGCAATTATAAAATCTTCACTAGCTTCAGCTTAGCGGTTTTTAGTGACACGATGGTCTCCTCAGAGAACAGCCAAGGATGTGCCCTAAAGAAAGCATTAGTTACCGTAGGAGATGAGTCTTTCCCCAGAGAATAATTTCCAAAGGTCAAAAAGAAACTTCTAAGGTATTCAAATAAAAAGATGTGAAGACAGCCAAAGAACATTCAAAGAAAACTCTCCTAAAGGACAAAATTTTCCCACTCAAAATTTTCCCACTCAATTCAAAGAAAACTCTCCTAAAGGACAAAATTTTCCCAACAATAAAAACAACAGCCAAGTCTCCAAGTCAATCCTGGGATCCTGGTGGCTCACTAGGAAATGAAGATTAGACTCACTCTCAAGGATGGGAGCACTCCGATCATTAATGTTGGTCACCTTCTTCAGCTTGGTCCCTTTGCAGATGTCCTGTAAGAGGGCACCTCGATTCCGCTGCTCATCTCTACTCAGCTTGGGCTGCTCTGTGTGTGCCTAGAGGAAGAGGGGAAAATATAACTATTCATCCTAAATATTTCCCTTTACCAGGAGCTTGGGATAAATACCTTAAGCCAAGCTGGATTTCATTAATGCCCCTCTAGCCTAATCAGATCCTGCACCAAATATCCGTACCAATGTGCGCTCTCATTCTTCTTAGTCCTTCTTCTGTTGTGCCTTTTGTGAAGGGTGCAGCTCCCCCTCCTATTCAGAAGCTCCCAAAAGGAGGCCTTATCTGGGGGGTCTGGGTGGCTCAGTCAGTTAAGTGTCCAACTTTTGATTTCAGCTCAGGTCATGATCTTGGGGTCATGAGATCAAGCCCTGCGTCAGGCCCTGCGCGTAGAGCCTGCTTGTGATTTTTCTCTCTCCCTCCCCCCAACCCCCCACTCTCTCTCTCTCCTTAAAAAAAAAGGCCTTAAGTAATACTGAGTACCTGTGTGCTGGGCTTGTGTGTTAGAAGCTTTACATGTATGAAGGCAAACACTGACTGAGTCCCTACTATGCCTCAGGCTAAGCATGTTACTTCCATTATCTCATTTAAATCTTGAAATATTTTTATGAAATAAATACTATTATCATAACCCATTTGGAAAGTGCGAATAGTTGAATAGTTTCCTGAGGCTATGCACCCAAATAAATAGTAAAGCAAGGATCCCAACCCAGACAGTTGATTCTAAAATGCATATCATACCTCAACTAACAGATCTTGTTGCTTCCCTATTACTTTATACTCTTTTTTTTAAAAGATTATTTATTTATTTATTTGACAGAGAGAGAGAGAGAGAGAGACAGCGACAGCAGGAACACAAGCAGGGGGAGTGGGAGAGGGAGAAGCAGGTTTCCCACTGAGCAGGGAGCCTGATGCGGGGCTCGATCCCAGGATCCTGGGATCATGACCTGAGCCGAAGGCAGACGCTTAACAACTGAGCCATCCAGGCGCCCCCTTATCACTTTATATTCTAAACAATGTTATAAAATAGACCATATTGGGGCACCTGGGTGGCTCAGTCGCTTAGATGTCCGAGTCTTGGTTCCAGCTCAGGTCATGATCTTGGGGTCATGAGATCAAGCCCCGTGGCATGCTCCACGCTCAGTGCGGAGTCTGCTTGTCCCTCTCCCTCTGCTCCTCCCCCTGCTCACGTGCACAAACTCTCTCTCTCAAATAAATGAGTCAATAAAATCTTTTAAAAATAAAGTAACATAAAATAAAATAGACCATATTATTCCCTTTCCAAGGATGAGGAAATGAAGGTTTAGAAAAGTTAATGTCACATGGTTAGTAAATGCAGAGCTGGTCTGATTATGTCAAAGCCCATGCCTTTCCCACTTACCCTATGGTCTCTTCCAACATCCTATTTCTTTTTGAGTTCTTCACCCTCCACCTACCTCTTAAATGCCATTTCAGAGTCCTAGCCTCAGCCTCCATCTGAATCTCCCCGAGCAAGCTCACCTGGTCACAGGGTTTGAATACCACTGAAAAGCCCAAGTATCTCAAATCTTTGTATCTCATCACCACTCCTGGCCCTGAGCTTTACACCCATATGTGCCAATGTCTACAGGACATCTTCAAATGAATATCCCACATATACCTAAAATGCAACACATCATACCATGTTCCTTACACAATTTTTAAATGTAGAGCTTTTTAAATTAACCACACAGTGGAATTTTTTGGAAACCATTAAAAAATGATTCTAAAATCCATCTGGAAGATTAAGTATAGGAAAAAAACTAAGAAAATGGGACTAGTACCACCAAAAGCTAGGACCAGGAGCACAGGGACAGATAGCCAGATAAATGGAACAAAACAGGAAAGTCCATAAACAAACCTACGTCTATATAAGAAATAATAAAAGTGGGGGCACCTGGGTGGCTCAGTCAGTTAAGTATCTGCCTTCGGCTCAGGTCACAATCCCGGGGTCCTGGGATCGAGCCCCATGTCAGGCTCCCTGCTCGGCGGGGAGTCTGCTTCTCCCTCTCCCTCCGACCCTCCCCTCTGCCCATGCTCTCACTAGTTCTCTCCCTCTCTCTTTTAAATGAATAAAAAATCTTAAAAAGAAGGAAAAGAAATAATAAAAGTGTATTTCAGCAGTGCAGAAAGCACAGATTATTAAATATAAGCTACTAATAATAACTGGCTAAGTTTGGAGGAAAAACAATCAAGTTAAATCCCTACCTTATAGCTTACTCAGACAAATTCTAGTTGAGTTATAAAATGTAAATGTAAAAAAAAAACCAGAGTACTATATGAAAAAAATAGGTAACGGGAAGGACATGACAACTAAAATACAAGGAAAGACTGGAAGACTTGTTTATTATAAATTATTTACTTAGGAATATAATAAGCAGATGATAGAATGGAAGGAAAAAAATCATCTGTGACACACAAAGGTAGTGTCCTAACTCTATGCAACATTAACATAAAGATGATTTATAAATCAACAGGATAATAAGCAAAGGATATAAACACTGTGTAAAAGAAATCCTGGAGCCAGCAAATATGGAAAAAAAATTTTAAATGCAGGCTAAAACACAGTATCATTATTTACCAATGAAACTGGTAGAAGTTAAAATTATAACAGGAGACTGCTAGCTTCATGAAGGCAGGGTCTACTGCTCACTGTCGTACAGTGCCTGGCACACGGAGGATGCTCAAAAAAATGCGTAGAAAACATTAACTGTCTTATGGTGGTTGTAAGGATTGAGAGGAACAGGTACTCGTTTGTATTATCCGGAGGAAGGTAAATTAGTATGATCTTTCCAGTTTATGTATCAAACACCTTTCCCCCCCCCTACCTTTTTTCTTCTTTCTTTTTGAGAGACAGTGGGGAGGGGCAAAGAGATAGGGAGAGAAAGAATCTTAAGCAGGCTCCACACCAAATGCAGAGCCCAACACGGTGCTGGATCTCACCACCCTGAGATCATGACCTGAGCCGAAATCAAGAGATAGACACTTAACCGACTGATCCACCCAAGCACCCCTTGTATTAAACACCTTTAAAAAGTCTACACAAGGGGCGCCTGGGTGGCTCAGTCATTAAGCGTCTGCCTTCAGCTCAGGTCATGATCCCAGAGTCCTGGGATCGAGCCCCGCATCGAGCTCCCTGCTCAGGCGCGAAGCCTGCTTCTCCCTCTCCCACTCCCCCTGCTTGTGTTCCCTCTCTCGCTGTGTCTCTCTCTGTCAAATAAATAAATAAAATCTTAAAAAAA